ATGCTGAACCAAAACAAGGGAAACTAGGCAAAGAGTAAATGACCTGGTTAGCACAGAGAATCTGGACCACCCTTAGGCCTGGTTCACAGGCCAAATCCTATTCTCTGAGTCTGCTCAGATCTCGTACCTGCCTTCTTCCAGCTCTCTGCCAGGAGAGGCAGTAACTATGCTTGGCAACAGGACCTGAAGTGCTTTCTGATTGTGGTAGTCTCAGGGCCATACCTGAGCACCTACACTAACATTAGGGTATATGTGAGGGCTTCCACCCAGATTAGAGTGGGAATATGATGAATCAGGAAGGTACCATTTAATTCAAACTTAAGACTGTACAGAACCACTGTACAGAATCCTATGTGTGAAATGCAAAAGCAACAGATGATCTAATGCCTTATTAGCAGGACTGACATTAGATGATCAGTTCTGATCTGACAGTGTGCTGACAAATGCTGGGGGATCTGAAGATAGACTTACTTTCACACCCTGCTGATAGCATAACCCCAAATCCCTTTATTGAGAAGGAAACTACTTCTTTAACACTTGGACTCTTAGTGTATAGAGCTTCCAGTTAGCCTATGGGACTACATCCCAAAGTTATCATGTCTTAATTGCTTTATCTTGAATGCTTTATGGGCTGTTTTTCTAGGAAGCATCACTAGCACTAAACCTTTTTACACACTGCAGCACAGAAGAAAACCTGTAAAAACATCACCACATTGGGCTTATTTTGAGATGGAAACAAAGTGGAAACCAGACAATCACCACTGTCTCTACCAGTGGTGAGTTTAGTCTGCAGCAAATTTTGAATGACTTTATGGTGTCTTTCAGAGGCTTTTTTTTAATAAACAAGAGATATAGTGAACAACACAACTGATGTCTATTTAAAATAATGACCTGAAAAATCAGCAAGTCTGCTTCCTGCACCTTCTTTTGCTCTTCAACCAGATCTTTGGACAAACCTCCCCTCTTGTAAGCTTCCCAGGTCTCCACACCATAATTGAAAGCTTCCGAGTTATGCAAGCGACCTGTGGGTAGAAGTGAAGTCATTCCTTGCCCTGTGTCTGGCACCAAGCCAGATAAGACTTAAACACAGGTTGCAATCTACAGTTCTAAACAGAGTCACTGCTTTCTGTTTTCCCCACTTCCTTTTCTTTGGTGGATATTCAGCATCCTCACAGCTGAAGGTGATTTGATTTAAAAGTAAAGAGGAATGTAGAACCTCAGAGTCCTAAACTTTCACCTTCACATACAAAGTGCAGTCAGTGCAAGGACTTAAGCTTGGCTCAGGACTCTGGTGATGCAGGTGGATGATTTAAGGGAATTTAGCTAATTGTTCTGCCTCTGCCTTAGGGTTTCCTGAGGCCATCATGCACTTGTAAGCACGATGGAGCTGCTTTCCAGCCTCTGTAACTGGGAAATTCAGCAGGTGCTGGGGAACCATCAGGCACATAGGTTCATTCTGTTGCTTCAGCTGGCAGATATCAGTCTCTAGCAGAAGACAGAGGCAGTAGCCTCATGAACTAACTGTGTAGCAAGTCACAGAATGGTATCTGAAGACATTTCCTCCCCTGGAGAAATGGACCTCAGAGATTGATTGTGGACATGTGCTAATGCATTTTTCCCTCTCAGTAATCTCACTGGGAGACAAAGTTCATGCTCAGGAGTGAACTTCTAGAAAGGCTGTCTGTCCCTATGTAAGTTTCTTATTAATGAAATAAGTTTCTTATTAATCTCTTGATGATGCAAGGCCTGGAGCACCTCTCCTATGCAGTCAGACTGAGACAGTTGGGGTTGATCAGCATGGGGAAGGCTCTAGGGAGACATTTCTCAGCCTTCTGTTACCTAAAGGGGGGCTTACAAGTCAGTATTGTTGATAAAGGTGTATTTTGGCTAGTCTCACCAACAATGTCATTTCTTGTTGCTCTTGGCTCAAACTGCATTGCATATAAATCTGACACTGTGACACTGCAGCCCTGCTTGGTCAATTCTTCCACAGCAATCTTCAACAAAGATCCGTTGAAG